AAATCAACCATAGCAAAGAGTGTTGCATCTGTCCTGGCAGAGGACCAGAAAATTCTGGCTGCTTCATTTTTCTTTTCCAGGGACTTTGCAGATCGCAACAACATAAGGCTCCTCCCAAGCACACTTGCTCGTCAGTTGGCAGATTACAGTGCAGGATTTCGTGATCTTCTTGTCAAGTTCTTGGATGCAGATCAAACAGACATCCTGTCTGCAGATCCCCACTTGCAGTTTCAAAAATTAGTTGTCGAACTTCTTGCTCAGGTGCCTCCCCTTGCGACACCATGGATAATCTGCCTAGATGCTTTGGATGAATGTGGACCAGATCGGGGCCAGCATTTCCTCCGGTGGCTTTCAGATGCAATTGCTCAAATCCCAATACATATCAGATTTTTTCTGACTGGCCGTCCTGATGTGCCCCAGTATCTCAAGTTTGATCATCTGCAGTCTTTGACACATAAAATAATCCTAGACACAGTTGATCCCAGTGAGGTCAGGCATGACATTCATCTCTACATTCAGAAATCCCTGAATGGATCAACATGGATCACAAGATATCCTTGGGCACCTCTTGCTCATAATGTGGATGAGATAACCAATCTGGCCGATGGCCTCTTTATCTTTGCTGCCACTGCTGTCCGCTATGTGATTTCAGCATTTCCCAGGGAGCTGCCACAGACATCTGTTGATTACTTGTTGAAGGGTGCACCTCTTAGTGATCTTGATCAATTGTACTACCGTGTTGTCAGTGATGCTATTGCACCTGTGTCATGGGATCAGCGGGATCAAAATTATCACACTCGTGCCATTCGGATCCTCAGTACAATTATCCAACTTCAAGAAGCCCTATCACCTCAATCTCTTGCTGCACTGCTTGACATGGATGTGGAGGTCCTCAGTGGCACACTGCATCCTCTGAGTGCTGTTATCCGTGTCCCTGAGACTGCGGATGGAGGTCCAATTAAAATCATACATCTCTCTTTCCGAGAATATATTACCTCAAGCGTCAAGAGAATGCGACCTGACCTTCTCTGTGGAACAGAGGCTCAAAAATTGGATATTGTATCTGATGTATTCCGAGTCTTGCAGAGAGATGTCAAATTCAACATCTGCAATCTGCCAACTTCACATCTACGAAATGTCGACATGCCTGATATTGAAAGGCTTATACAGAAGCATATTACTGGTCATCTTCAGTATGCATGTCGCTTTTGGGCTGAGCATCTTATTGCAATCATGTACAATCCAAACAGTGTACTAGCAGCAGATACATTCCTTAGAACTCGGTTCCTTTTCTGGCTGGAGATCATGAGCTTGCTAGGCATGGTAGGAGATGCCCAACATGCACTGTTGAAATTGATTTCTTGGGCCAAAGAGGTATGGACATTTGTTATTCAATTGGATTAAGATATGAATAGTCAACACTCCAGGATTCACAAACTGTTCAATTTGCAATGGATGCAAACAGATTTATCACCTTCTTTGCAGAGCCAATCGTTCAAAGTGCTCCTCATATCTACCTGTCAGCACTGGCACTCGCACCCAAGGATTCTGAAATAGCAAAAGAATTTCGATCACAGTTTGCACATTTGATTTCCATCCCACTGGGACAAATGAGAAAGTGGCCAGCATTGATTCGAGTATTGAACCATGCCAGCAGGGTCAACTCTGTTGCATTCTCACCTGATAGCAAGAAGATTGTGTCTGGCTGCTGGGATGGAAAAGTGCAGCTCTGGAATGCAGAGACCGGGGAGGCCCTTGGCGACCCATTGGAGGGCCACACAGACTGGGTCATCTCTGTTGCATTCTCCCCTGATGGGAAAAAGATTGTGTCAGGCTCTGATGATGAAACAGTGCAGCTCTGGAATGCAGAGACCGGAGAGGCCCTTGGTGACATATTGAAGGGCCATGCAATGTGGATCACGTCCGTTGCATTCTCACCTGATGGCAAGAAGATTGTGTTGGGCTGCAATGACCAAACAGTTCGGGTCTGGAATGCAGAGACTGGGGAGGCCCTTGGTGAGCCGCTGGAGGGCCACACAGACCGTGTCAACTCTGTTGCATTCTCACCCAATGGCAAGAAGATTGTGTCAGGATCCACTGATCGAACAGTGCGGCTCTGGAATGCAGAGACGGGGGAGACCCTTGGTGAGCCATTAGAGGGCCACACCAACCTGGTCACCTCTGTCGCATTTTCAACTGATGGCAAGAAAATCGTGTCAGGCTCCACTGATCGAACAGTGCGGCTCTGGAATGCAGAGACCGGGGAGGTCCTTGGTTTCCCATTGGAGGGCCACACAGACTGGGTCACCTCCGTTACATTCTCACCTGATGGCAAGACGATTGTGTCAGGCTCTGACAAAACCGTGCGGCTCTGGAATGCAGAGACTGGAGAGGCCCTTGGTGAGCCGTTGGAGGGCCACACCAACCCAGTCACCTCTGTGGCATTCTCACCTGATGGAAAGTTGATCGTGTCAAGCTCCTATGACTCAACAGTGCGGCTCTGGAATGCAGAGACTGTAGAGGCCCTTAGTGAGCCGCTGGAGGGCCACACAGACCGGGTCACCTCAGTTGCATTCTCGTCTGACGGCAGGAAGATTGTGTCAGGCTCCTTTGACAAAACAGTGCGGCTCTGGAATGCAGAGACTGGGGCAGCCCTTGGTGGCGCATTGGAGGGCCACACAGACCGGGTTTCTTCTGTTGCATTCTCCCCTGATGGGAAGAAGATTGTGTCAGGCTCTGATGACCAAACTGTGCGACTCTGGAATGCAGAGACTGGAGAGGCCCTTGGTCACCCATTGGAGAGCCACACAGACCATGTCAACTCTGTTGCATTCTCACCTAATGTCATGGAGATGGTGGAGCCATTGGATACCCGCACCCATTCGGTTGTTGCATTCTCACCTGATGGCAAGACAATTATTTCAGGCTCCTTTGACAACACAGTGCGGCTCTGGAATGCGGAGACTGGAGAGGCCCTGGGTGACCCATTGAAGGGCCACACAAACTGGGTCACCTCTGTTGCATTCTCACTTGATGGCAAGAACATTGTGTCAGGTTCTGCTGACCGAACAGTACGACTGTGGAATGCAGAGACTAGGGAGGCCCTTGGTGACCCATTAGAGGGCCACACAGGCCGTGTCACCTCAGTTGTGTTCTCATCTGATGGCAGGAAGATTGTGTCAGGCTCCTTTGACAAAACAGTGTGGCTCTGGAATGCACAGACCGGGGCAGCCCTTGGTGATGCATTGGAGGGCCACAAAGACCGGGTCAACTCTGTTGCATTCTCACCTGATGGAATGAAGATTGTGTCGGGATCCAGTGATGGAACAGTGCAGCTCTGGAATGCAGAGACCCTGGAGGCCCTTGGTGACCCATTAGAAGAGGGCCACACAGACTGGGTCACCTCTGTTGCATTCTCACCTGATGGCACGAGGATTGTGTCAGGCTCCTTTGACAACACAGTGCGGCTCTTCAATGTCGAGAGTGGGGAGGCCCTTGGTGGCTACAACGATCGCTCTGACACTGTTTTGGCAAATGTTTTTGTTTATACTAAATACTCATGTTTCTAACCCTCTCATTTTTTTAGACAAGGCACATTGTGAAATGGCACCTGGACAATGGATGGGCGATTTCTAGTTCCGGTGACCTGCTTTTGTGGCTCCCTAGTGGAAACAGAGAGGGACTTTGGACCTTAGGTACTCAACTTATCATTGGGAGAAGGCAGACTATGGTGTCGTTCCAGAATTCTGTGCATGGCAGTGAGTGGCAGAGTTGCTATATATATCTGTAAAGTGTAATTGTAACCCCTTGCTATATATTCATATGCTTCAGTTTGGTGTCCGAAGTGCACCAAGAACATAGGAACTAGAAATTAGGGGCGGTCAGAGTAGCTCTCCCAAGGTGATTCTGAGACAATTCTGGGAGGCGATTCTGAAGACGATTCTGAATTATTTGAAGCATGAGATAATCAACGAGAATCAGAATCACCCCAGAATATCTGGAGAATCGCCTCCAGAGGGGATTGTCGTCGATTCTGAGGCGATTCTCGTGTCAATTCTGATTTAAAATTCTGAGGTGATTCTTATTTATTTCTACTCTGAGTCTCTGACCGCCCTGTTACTAGCTCCAAAGAAGCAGTTTGTGTTGCCATGACACAAAGCCTCCAAAACATGGAGGACAGGGGCTGGATTGGTGTCACTAACCCTGAACCATTGAAGGCCTTAGCCGCTGAACTAAAAATGATGTCAGCAAAGAAAAAAAATTCCACCCTACAACAATTCGGATGCGGGGAGTCGAACCTCGGGTTGCTGCTTGTAACTGAAGAAGCTCGTAGCAATGGGAAGCGGCCGTGCGCTGTGCACAACACCCAATTCCTCTCCTATAAACTCGCCTGTATGAGAGGAAGCGATTTGGACGCGGGCACTTGCGCAAGACATGCATCGTTCCAGAGTGCTTGCCAATAAAGCTGCGGGATGCGTGTCGAAAAGGTGATGAATGAATGTGCATGTATGGGTATAGGAAAGGCGAGAATTGAGGGACTGCGGTGGAGGCGTGACAATAAAAAGAATTTTTGCCTGGCGCCGTCCATTCGGGCGCGGGGTCGAACCCCGGGCTGCTGCTAGTAGGAGAGGCGAGAATCAAGGGACCTGTGGCGGAGGCATATTTTAAAAAAATCTCCACAAAATCCTTCGATTCGTGCGCCGGGAGTCGAACCTCAACCTGCTGCGGACAGTGTACGGGACGCCAATAACCGGAAGCAGCAGTGCACCACACCCGATTCCTCTCCTATAACCTCGGCTTTACGAGAGGTAACAATTCGAGGGGTACCTGCATCCGAACCAAAATCAACCAACGAAATGCGAGGAATGAATCCTCCGCGAGAGATGCCCGTCGAACAGTGTATGAAAAGCGCGAATATGAGGGTGTATAATAGGAAAGGCGAGAATCAAGGGACCTACGGTGGACGTGTCAATAAAAAGAATTTTGAGCGCAACTTTCTATTCGGGCGCGGGGAGTCGAACCCCGGTCTGCTGCGTGCCATGGCGTCTACTGCTTATGAAATAATGGCAGCCGTGCGTCGTACACTACGCCCGATGTCTCTTCTATCGAATCAAGTTTATGAGAGGGGACGATTCGAACATGCACTACCAATCCTACCAGACCCGCGCCCCCAAGAAATAAAAAATGGGAGCGCGCGTAAGAAAGGGCCGGGGTGGGGATGGGACTCCCAGGACCTGAGTGTCGTGGATGCGCATGTCAATAAAAAGAATGTTGAGTGATGAGTCTGTACTCGGGCGCGGGGAGTCGAACCCCAGCCTACTGCGAACCCGTATATATTAGTAAACAACGAGAAGCAGCCGTGCGCCGTACACCGCGCCCGATAAATATTCTATAAACTCGGCTTTGTGAGAGAGAGCAATTTGAATGCAGACTCACCTATACCCGCACAAGACACGCATCTTTCCAGAGTGCTTGCCAGCGTCGAAAGCTGCGGGGATACGTGTTCAAAAGGTGATGAATGAATGTGAGTGTGTATAGTACATAGGAAAGGCGACAATTAATGGACCTGTGGTGGAGGCATATTTTTAAAAGAAAAATACAGGAACCTTGAATATGGGCGCCGGGAGTTGAACCCCGGGTTGCTGCTTGCAATTGAAGAAGTTAGCAGCCATCGAAAGCGGCCGTGCGCTGTACACCACGCCCGATGATTCTCCTGTAAACTCAGGTTTATGAGAAGGAACGGACCCACCTGCACCTGCATGCATCCGAGGCCAAAAATGATTCCGCCGAATACAGGACTCGGGCAACCAGCGAGGAAAATTTTCGCCGACCAGATAATTCGGGTCCGGGGAGTCGAACCCCGTCCTGCTGCGGACCGATTTACGTCATTGCAAACAACCGGAAGCAGCCGTGCGCCGTGCACCACGCCCGATAGTCATTCTATAAACTCGACGATATGAGAGGTAACAATTTGAATGCGGACTCACCTGTATTTGCCCAAGACATGCATCATTCCAGAGTCCTTGGCAACGTACAAAGTTGCTGGGATGTGCGTCGAAAAGGTGATGGAAGAATGTGAGTGTGTATAGTACATAAGAAAGGCGTGAATCAAGGGTCCTGTGGCAGAGGCGTCAATAAAAATAATCTACTAATGAATGATCTTTGATTAGGGTGCGGGGAGTCGAACCCCGTCCTACCTCCTAAAGCTTCCTATCTTCGGCACATAAAGAGCGCTCGTGCGCCGTACACCACGCCCGATAATAATTCTATAAACTCAGGCATATGAGAGGAAATGATCTGGATGCTGACTCACCCATACGCGCACAAGACACACATCTTTCCAGAGTGCTTTGCAGCGTAGAAAGCTGCTGGGATGCGCATCGATAAATTGATGAATGAATGTGCATGTATGGGTATAGGAAAGGGGAGAATCGCTGGACCGGTGGAGGCGTATTTAAAAAAAATATCGAACGAAACAGCTATCGATTCGTGTGCGGGGAGTCGAACCCCAGCCTGCTGCAGACACAGAGTATCAGAAATGCCAAGGAAAGCAGCTGTGCGACATACACCACACCCGATTCCTATCCGGTAAACTCAGCTGTATAAAAGGGAACAATTCGAGCCGTACTTGCATACGCAGCAGAATCAATCCGCCGAGTTATGACGAACACATCGTCCCCAAAGGGATGCGCGTCGAAAAACTGATGAAAGAATGTGAGTGTGTATATTAAGTAGGAAAGGCGAGAATCAAGGGGACTGTGGTGGACGCCTCAGTAAAAACATGCTTGTTCAGTAAACATTGACAAAAGATGGCCATATCAGAAGCGTAGATTCGGGCGCGGGGAGTCGAACCCCGGTCTGCTGCGGACTCAGTACAACAGAGAGGTGAAGGAAGGCAGCCGTGTGCCGTACACCACGCCCGATTCTTATCCCACCTATTCACGTATATGCGAGGCAGCGATTTAGACGCAGACTCGCTTACATTGATCAATATGACGAATGCAGGTCGAGTGAGGGAGATCGAACCCGCACCGGAAAGTGTGACGTCACACGTCACACTTGAACTTTTGCGCTGGGGGGAACGGTGTTCCGCCCAGACCCCCCTCCTCTGGCCTGACGGCCGGTATTTAACTAATTTCAAGTAGATTTAAATTTCTAATGCGCTGGTGGGAACGGTGTTCCCCCCAGACCCCCCTCCTTTTGCCTGACGGCTGTATGAATGAAGTATATGCCGACCATTGGGAGCCTGGGGGACTGATTGCGGCGCCGGCCGCGGGGGCCCACTGCGTGGGGCTTACGCTCGCCGCGAGGCCCACTGCGTGGTGCTAAAAAATGACCGGCTGATGGAATCGAACTCACGACCATACAAAAACATACGGATAGAATCCACATCTACCATTCTACCAGACACTACATGGAGTTAGATATAATGAAACCAACCTTGGGGAAGAGGGGGCGTGTAACGGTCACACGTCACACTTTTTCCGGTGTGAGTCCAAATTCCTCGAGTGAGTTCGAGGTCTGATCCGAGACGTGTGCGCGTCTGCAAGAGAGGCCACAGTTGAGACACCTGACGAGTACAGTAAACGTCAGCAACAAAAAGAAACGTTTGATGGGACAACACAAGTATTCGGGCGCGGGGAGTCGAACCCCGTCACGGTCCATCCGCCTGGATTCAATTTACTCCCGATTATCAGCGGCCGTGCGCCGTACACCACACTCGATTCCTATCCTGCAGACCCACCTGTATGAGAGGAAGCGATTTGGACGCGGACTCACCTGTTCTATGCATCTTTCCACAGTACTTGCCAACAAAGCTGCGGGGATGCGCGTCGAAAAAAAAAAAAGCTGATGAAAGAATGTGCATGTATGAGTGGGTGGGTATACGAAGGCGAGAATCAAGGGACCTGCGGTGGAGGTGGCAATAAAAAAATCTTCACGGAAATCTCTCATTCGGGCGCGGGGAGTCGAACCCCGTCCTACCTTACAGTCTCAAATCTTTGGGTCATGACAAGCGGTTGTGCGCCGTGCACCACACCCGATTCATATCCTGGAGACTCAGGTTTATGAGAGGAAGCGATTGGAATGCGAACTCATTCACATTTATCAATATGACGAATGCACCACGATCAATTTCGAGAACTCGTCCGAAACGTGTGAGCGCATGGAAGAAAGGCTGCAGTTGAGAAACCTGAAGAGCAAACTCAGCCAAAACGTTTTTTAAAAAAAAATATAGCGCAGGACACAACCATTCGGGCGCGGGGAGTCGAACCCCAGTCTGCTGCTGACAACTCCTTGCCAATAACCGGAAGCAGCCGTGCGCCGTACACTACGCCCGATTCCTCTCCTATAAACCCACCTGTATGAGACGGAGCGATTTGGACGCGGACGCACCTGTACCTGCACAAGACACGCATCTTTCCAGAGTGTTTGGCAACGCATCATCCGCCGAGGGATACACTGTTACTGTCTCCGACTCATACACATCGAAAAATTGATGAAAGAATGTGAGTGTGTGATAGTAAGTAGGAAAGGCGGGAATCGAGGGACCTGTGGTGGAGGCGTCAATAAAAAAAAAACAATTCAACGACACAACTAATTCGGGCGCGGGGAGTCGAAGCCCGTCCTAGAGAGTGACATTTTTGGCTTGGCCGAATGGCTTGCGCCCGCGCGGAATGGCTTGTTTCGGGCGGGGGCGTGGATTTGGGTGTGATCACCCGCCCACGCCCGGCCGATCGGCTTGCAAGCCATTTTGATGGCTTGGCAAGCCATTCCGCCAACTCGGTCCCAGCCAAAAAACCAAAGTGGCTTGTGTTCACTGTACACCATGTAGAGCCCTAGCACTGAAGTTTATGTGGCAGAGGTACTACTATATGTCCCCCACAGGTACCTAGGACATCAATTGTCACATACTTTTAATATTTGGGGAATACGCGTCGTCACCATGCAAAACGATGAGGGTAACTCACACTCTACATGCAAGCCAGTGGGCTTGTGAGTTTGCACTGATAGGCAATGCTTCCAAGCGTCTGCATGCATTGAAAATATTGGAGGAAGTGTCCACCCCACTAAATTATTCGCAAAAACAATGTTCAACTCACCCGAACCACACAAGTTTTTCCGTACCTCGAATTGAAATTTGAACAAATTCCTTCATAAAAAAGCTTTGTACAGCTTTGTAAAATTCAGCAGAGGGGAACCAGCCCTTGTACATCCATTGTGGGTTGTGATTCTTGTTAGTTGACATCGGTCAAACCAAGGCCTCGACGGTACGTAGTCCGTAACCAACCAAATGGGTGTAAATAATCAATCCTTTGATGTAAGCTACCCAAATGAACACACTTGAACGATCTGGGGCCTTCGGAGAGGAATATTTGAAGCGGCTGTTCCCCTTGTCGCGAGAATTCTGGTGGCCTTCGAAGACAGACATCCGGTTGTCCGGAGCTTCACCAAGTATTTTTCTGGGAAAAATTCCATTGATCAGCACCGAGCAGCCAGTGACTGGATGCGCACGCTAGACTTGGTTCCGACACCGGAGCTCGAGGCCGTTCTTTCGAAGCCCTTAATCACTCTGTTGGGGTGCGAGGCCCTTTCCGATCTTTTGCAGGCAGAACGCGACAAAAGAGTGATGGGAGTGGGGTCTGTCCTCCTTCAACTCCTTGCAGTCCAGCGGGAACTTGGAGAGGCCTTGAATCTCAATGGTGACATCGTGGAGGATCTCATCACTGGTCGCGTCGTTCGATGCCCCAGTGATGGTCCCGCGGCGTTGGCAGCTATGTTTGCAGCGATACCCTTGACATCTGTCCAGTCTGGTATCCTGACTCAACGAATGCTGAAGTTTAACGCAGATCACGCTACTTATGACAGGGATTATCGGCCACCCACGTATCGCCGCGACGATCCATCGATTTTCAAGCCCACTGCCGCCATTCCAGTCTTGCTAAAACGAGAGGGAAGCGCGGAAATCGAGGGAGAGAAGCCGGCGAAACGCGCCAAAACTGCAAAGAAGGATGTGCAGAAGAAGTCGGCGACGAAAAAGGAATCGAAGCCGAGAAAGAGAGAGGCCGCAGCGAAGAAGCCGGAGACAGTAGTGA